CCACGCGAAACGAGCACGCGATTGCAAACGCTAGCTTAGAACAATGTACAGAAACTGGCAGCGTCACTCAACATATCAACAAATCGTAACCTCTTCACTAGCAGGGACTTTGACACTATGCGTACATGTATCTGACTGTAAAACCTCGGTTGCTGCTGAGAAAAATTGATCTTAGCAATAGACAAAAGCTGAAAGTCAGCTAGTGAAATCATTTATTTACGGTGTATATATATTAAAGTGAGAGCGTCGAACGCACTCTCATAATCTCTGATTACTACTAGTTTTATCCATTTTTGGCCTAATGTTGACAATTTCCAATGCATTGACATGGTGATTTTTATTCGCTACAATTTACTCCTTAACGTCCGAACGGCAAACGGCAAATATCTAACCTCAAACCGCAGTTAGACATTTGGGGTAAACGTGGATCTAAAGGTCTCTACCAAAAGCGCGCGTTACTCTCCAGTACGTATATTCAGAAACCATTATTGAACTTGAAAGCATGCGCAGAATCAAACCAGAACCAAGAATTTCTGGTTCTTTTTTAAGATCGTTTAACGCTGCGCGTTCGGTCACCGCTGATTTATAAAACACGCGGGTTCTAGTGAGGAGATTACCATGTGGCGTTCGGTGCCGACCACTTTCATCCAACAAAGTGGAGAGTTACTTCAATATACACCAGTATGTCCTTTCTCATTTGCCTCTACTGAGTTATTTTGCAAACGCTACATCCCTTCCCAACACAAACCGCAACAGTTTTCTTGAAAAGCAGAGTATCTTGTGATGTCCTTGTTGCCAGTGTTCATGTTTACTTCGAAAAGGTCAAGGGAAGTGGAGTTGAAATGATCGGTTTGAGTCATACAAAAGACTTATGGCTGAGAGCAGAGACAATCAATCAGTCAATCGATCAATCAATCAATCAATCAGTCAGTCAGTAAGTTAATCAATCAATCAATCAATCAATCAATCAATCAATCAATCAATCAATCAATCAATCAATCAATCTACCAACTTTTATTGCGCAAAATTTACAGAATTAATTTACATCAGTATTATAAAATAAATATGAGAAGAGAAATATATGGAAATAATAAAAATTATTTTTCTCAAGCATCTGAGCGGGCCGGAATCCTAAATCCTCGAATTTGATTGGTCGATCATCCGTACGTGACCGGTCCAGCTTTTAACGATACAGCCCACGGAACGATTAGTCAACGCAAGTTTATCTCTGTTCACTTTAAAATGGCAGGGCAAGTCACTGTAAGTAAATTCAATTGAGTGTTTTGAAGTTGTGAGAGTTTGCTTGGTTGTTTGTAGCTTGGNAGTACGTATATTCAGAAACCATTATTGAACTTGAAAGCATGCGCAGAATCAAACCAGAACCAAGAATTTCTGGTTCTTTTTTAAGATCGTTTAACGCTGCGCGTTCGGTCACCGCTGATTAAAAAAACACGCGGGTTCTAGTGACGAGATTACCATGTGGCGTTCAGTGCCGATCACTTTCATCCAACAAAGTGGAGAGTTACTTCAATATACACGAGTATGTCCTTTCTCATTTGCCTCTAGTTATTTTGCAAACGCTACATCCCTTCCCAACACAAACCGTAACAGTTTTCTTGAAAAGCAGAGTATCTTCGGATGTCTTTATTGCCAGTGTACATTTTACATCGAAAAGGCCAAGGGAAGTGGAGTTGAAATGATCGGTTTGAGTCTTACAAAGGACTTATGGCTGAGAGCAGGGACAAACAATCAATCAGTCAATCAACCAATCAATCAATCAACTGATCAACAGATCAATCAATCAATCAATCAGCAGTCAGTCAGTCAGTCAGTCAGTCAGTCAGTCAATCAATCAATAAACTTTTATTGCGCACAATTTACAGAATTAATTTACATCAGTATTATAAAATAAATATGAGAAGACAAATATATGGAAATAGTAAAAAAATATATGTGCGTGGTAACCAGAGTAACCATTGGCTTTCGAGCTGGTTACCATCATGTTAAAGTAAATGCGGAGAACAAAAATATATTACACAGGAATACATTACTGAAAATACATTTCAGAAATACAAGTGACTATTATTGACTATATTTTAAGTTTTGAGGTACTGCGTATACTGCTTCTTAAAGGTAATATCGTAATGTTTTTTAGACTACGGAAAAACTGATTCCCAAATTTTTGATGCACAAAATTGGAATGCTGATTGTCCATATCTAGTTGATGTTTTTGGCCCATAGAAGTTTTGATTTGATGCATACCTGGTGTTGTGGTGATGGAGTTCTAACACTGGTGCAAGAGCACCAGAGAAAACGGTTGGAATACTCTTTTTATCATTTTGAATTCAATGAGCAAATATCGTCATTGTTATCGTTTTCGTTAATTATAAATTTGCATTGCAGTGCAAATTGACGCGTGTGCGTCCGTAATTTTCGCAGTCATATAATTAGTGAGTAATCGTATGAAAGCTCAAACAATTAAGAATTTTCACTGATCCTGACATTTGCAAATTCTCTCAAATTGCACTCGCCTAAAGACTCGTGCAATTTCGAGAGAATTTTCAAATAGCACCCGTAGCGTAAGTCCTTAATTACACTCGCATTCATACGATAACCTATACTAACTTACTGCACGCTAGTAGTAAACTGCAGTTTACAGCACATGTATGTTCGACATCTTTTATTTTGGCAATCCCAGCTATAAATGCACAATTCTTGACAATCACAATCACAATCAATAACTCTAAGGGTCTATCTCAGAAATGTGTAATATTTGAGACATTTCACTTGAAAATAAATTGTCGTCGCTTAATGATAATATAATAAAATAAATAGATTCTTCTGTTAACAACTGTTTCAAAGATGGGGTGCCGCAACGTACAAAGCACGCCAGCGCGCCATACGACTTATGACACGGTGAGGAATTCTTCCCGGGAGAGGGGGAGAGGGTGTAAATCAAGGATTTTGGTCTCACTTTGGGTGTTCATGAAGAAACGCCGCTATTTTTAGTTGTCAAAGTAGCTTTCATGATGCACTTGAAGAAATAATAATGAT